AAAAAGATTGTTGATTAAGGTAACAGATAATCATCAATAAAAAAAAAATCGATCAAATGTATGGTGGGTCAAAATGTTCCTTGTAAGTTGTAATGAAAAATTCGATCCTAGCCCATGAATAGGGCCCATAGGATTTTGGCCACAAATTTCACACAAACCTAACACAGGAATGGAGCAGTTGAGATTTGAGATTGGCCAAACACTGAAGATAACTGATAGACCCCAACCAACCCCCAGCAGGAATTGATCGGCGACACGTGTCAACCGTACCAAACACCCTCAGAAATTCATCCACACGAAAATCCTCTTTCCAATGTTTGCTCCTTTGCCTAATTCTCCAAGCAAAAGGGCGGTAAATTCAGCCGTTTTCATCTCATCCCCCTTTCAAGAATTCAAATTGAGCATCCCGGAAAGAAAACACGAAGAAAAAGATTGAATCTTGTGAAAAAATATAGATAATTATTCAAGAAAATGGCATCAGCAACTTGTTCATTGGGCTCATCAGCTATAGTTCAGTCAATCTCTGGGCGGTTTACAGGCCAAAACCTTTCTCTTTCATCTTCCAAATCACTCACTTCAACGAGGTGCTTATGAATTCCTTCATATTATTATTCTGAGATGAATTTGCAGGTCTTTGAATTGGTAGGGTTTTAATGATCCTGTGGTTTGTTTTTTTATTTATGTTGTAGTTTTTCTGTAAACCTAAAGGGTAGCTCTTGACTTTGTTGTCTGATAGAGTGAGGGAATTGCTTAATTAATGTAGGCTTAATTAATTGTAGTGGCATTTACTGCTAATATCTTGTGGTGATGAAACTAGCTCTAGTCGGTTTGAAAGTAATGTGTTTGTGAATATGCTTGTTTGACTTCAGGTGTTTGTCCTGAGGAATTTCAGTATGTTACATTTGTTAAGAATATTTATTTATCTCTGATTATCTTGATTATGTTCGGAGCTATCCTTTGTGTTAAATGTTCTCAAGAGTTCCAAACAACATTTCTTCTTGACTGATAACGTGTTCACACTGCTTCATATCAAGAATTCACCTTGCTAACTATAAAGATACTGGGGGCTTACGAATTGTGCTTTGCAAATGGTTCTTTCAGCTTTTTGCTTGTACTTGTTGAGTCACCGATAAATTTCTAAAATAAAGTTTTCATTATTTTCTGAGCATGTTTAGGACTGTGTGCCTACTGTTTTTTTCTCTTGTGTGTGTGTGTGTAAAAAATCCAGGAGAAAATCTCGACTTGTGGTGAAGGCATCTTCTCGTGTCGACAAGTTTTCAAAAAGTGACATTATTGTCTCTCCATCTATTCTTTCCGCCAATTTCTCAAAATTAGGAGAACAGGTACCTTATTTTTTTATTACCTCAACTTTGCTTTCATGATATCTTGTTAGATCTCCATAAATATAAACAAATTTATATCGCCTCTCCATATTATATCATTTTTGCAAGTGCTGCATATGAATTTGATTATAGGTCAAAGCTGTTGAGTTGGCTGGTTGTGATTGGATTCATGTTGATGTGATGGACGGTCGTTTTGTGCCGAATATTACGATTGGGCCCCTCGTGGTCGATGCCCTGCGACCAGTCACCGAGCTACCCTTGGATGTGCATTTGGTACTATACTCGATTATCTAATTATATATAATATTATTATGTTTGAAATTTCTTCCTTCAAAGTGAACTTCTTTTTAACATTAATAAAGCATGACAGATGATTGTTGAACCCGAGCAGCGAGTCCCGGATTTTATAAAAGCTGGAGCTGATATAGTCAGTGTTCATTGTGAACAATCTTCAACCATCCATTTGCACCGTACATTGAATCAAGTAAGATTTTGGCTGGTCATGCAAGAGTTTTGTTTTGATTCGTTCAATTATCAACGCGAATTTGCCAAACTAGATATAGCTAGTGGTTTTACTGAAGCTTGAATTTTAGTTTCAGCATGTATATCAGTTCTCTGCTATTGTTAGTTTTTGTATTTAGTTTAGATTTTCATAAATTAACTCAGTTTGGGCTTTTCATGGTTTAGACTTGCTTGTTATATTTGTTGATTAGTTAACTGCATTTGCACTTTTTCGGTTTAGATTAAGAGTCTGGGAGCCAAAGCTGGAGTTGTGCTGAACCCTGCAACTCCATTAACGGCCATAGAGTATGTTCTTGATGGTAAGATGAAATGTTTTCTTGAAATATATATATGAAGAAAGTACCTGTGATGATATTTTTGGTCGAATGAATTTGACATATTATAGCATTTGCATTTTGTATTATTTTACAGTGGTTGATCTTGTACTAATTATGTCCGTCAACCCTGGATTTGGCGGGCAAAGCTTCATAGAGAGCCAAGTAAAGAAAATATCGGACTTGAGAAGAATCTGTGCTGAGAAGGTAATTGTATATATTTCCCTTCACCGTCTTTTTTCTTTTTTCATTGATTGAAGAATTTTCAGTATTGTCGTCTGTTCACAGGGAGTGAACCCATGGATTGAGGTAGATGGTGGAGTTGGTCCAAAAAATGCTTACAAAGTAAGTACTTAATCTCTGCTTAGAATTTTAAAATTTTCATTTATTGTGCCAATCGTATTTTCCTTGTTTTAAAGTTGAATATGTTGGCAGGTAATTGAAGCTGGGGCCAATGCATTAGTTGCTGGCTCTGCTGTTTTTGGAGCCCCTGATTACGCCGAAGGTGAGATTCCAACAAACACGATTTGAAGTTTGTTAAATGATTCGATATTTGGCAATGTCGCTCTAACTTATTTTTTTTTGTGGCCAATTTACCCTCTCTTT